AAAAAGGGGGAGAAGGTATGCTTATATGTTGAATAATCCACTGAGATTCCAACATCTCTCTTTAGAATACATGCTGATTAGAAAATCACACTCTAGCCAATGAAAACACATTGATGGACATGGCCATGACCATACTTTTGGCCCTTGATTGGTTTTAGGGTGTTAATATTTTTCTTTCTGGCCTAAATAAGAGAAGCCACAAAGCATATTTGTTTGGAGTGGATGCTGCTCATACTGGCTTTCTTTTATTGGAATACAAGTGGGATGGGAGAAATCTTAACTTTTTAATTTGACGAGGATTTTATTATTATAGGTATTTTATCAAAATTAAAGTTTGTTATTTCAAGTACATCAAAAAAAGTATCTGCATCCCAGAACTGCAGCATGATCTGCAAAGCAAAAGCATGTTTTGATGTTAACACAGCAAAAAATTGAATCGCTGTAAAAAAAAAGGATGAAGGCATGTTGATCTCAGAATTATACTAGCAGTATAGAACAGTAAAATCAACAATATATAACAGTGGAAAAGAAGGAACATTTTGTGGATTCTGACATACAACTTGAAATAAATAAAATAAAAATCTGCTAAAAGTGATGATCATGAGAAAGTGATGATAGAAAGGAAACAACAGCATTATACTCACTACATGCTACGGATGGATCTAGTGCTGATGGCTCAAGCCAAAATATTCCATGAGAAAATGAACTTAAGTAATGAGTGCACATACTGGGCAGGCTGGTTAACTAAACTTAAACATCGCCATGGTATAAAGCAATTAACAATTTCAGCTGAAAAAACTACAGCTGATACTGTAACACCTAATGAATATGCTCAGGAATTCAAGTGGAAAGTTATCTCCAAATAAATTTATAACAGTGACAAAACTGACCTTTTTTGGCAATATGTACTTTGAAATACCTTATCAACCTCTTCAGAAAAATCCCAACTGACATCATGGGTTCCAAAGTGAGAAAATTTTGGCATGTTGAAATCCTGCAACATTCCTGCAGCATTTCAACATGCCAAAATTGTTTTCTCACAAATGTAAACTTTTTATCAGAATAAAACATGACCTCGGACATTAAACGAGTAAAGATTTTCCCCGCCATTGTTCAAATAAAACAGCATGGATGACACAAACATCAATGAGTAACTGGAATGAAAATAATTTCATGTCAGAGAAACAACAGTAACTGAAACTGGTTGACTTGATGATCCAAAAACTGCCCTGACTAGAAGCAACTGCTCTTACACTTCACTAAAACTTTTAGCAAAAGAAAACACTTCGTTCAATTTTTTCCTACAAATTGTACATCCATCATTCAGCCAAGGGACAACACATTGAAATGCAGATTTAGAGCAACATTTTTAAATGCTATGTTAAAGTTTCTGAATGGTAGTGGCAAGACTATTCAAGAATTTTTCAAACATTTTAACACAAAATCTGCTGTGTGGAGTATTTATTGCAAGGTAATTGAAAGATGTGTGTGCAGATATTTTACAGAATGCTTGACAGAATTTATGGCCATATTATTTATGGTGGTGGTGTTGATGATATGCGCAAGTCTGAAGTTTTTCAGATATCATAAACACAAGGTAAAATTTTCTAATAAATAGAATTTTTGAAGAACTGATAATAAATGAATATGATATCACAGAAGTTTTTCATTCTGATGACAATACTCCAGTCATCAATCACTAATGGATGCTGAAATCAGTAATATAGTTTTGAATCCAGAAAATATTGCCACTCGTAGTGAAGAAAATGATACAAAGTTTTTTTAGAATTAGAAGATTTCAATTGACAGCTTAGAGGAAATTCTCGACACTTGAATTACAACACTTCAACAATAGAATTTTGTAACTGAACAAGAAATTATCTATAAAATAAATAAAAAAGTATTAGCACAAAAAATGAAACAACTTACACTGAAAGAAATATTTAATAAAACATATAAATATTAAGGTTTCCCCTCTTCTTTCATAGTTGTTAATTTCGATTTCTTTATGGTCATAAATGCTTCATTATTTCATAAACAACTATTCCACTTTTTTAATTTTATAATTTTTTCATGTCATTTTACTAGATTTAAACTAATGATCTCAAATTGGAAATTTCCAAATTCCAGATTCTGTATCATAAACATTGTATTCTAGTTATTTATGAAATAATGAAGCATTTATAACTTTAAAGGAATCAAAATTTACCAAAAAATGGCTTAATATTTGTTTATTTTATTAAACAGTTCTTTCAGTGTTAAGTTATTTAAATTACTATGTTTTTTGGTGTTGACTTTCTCTTTAATTTTATAGATAAAAATAATTTCTTGTTCAGTTACAAAATTTCATTGTTCTGGTCTTGAAATTCCAGTGTCAAGAATTCCCACTAACTGTCAATCAACTCTTCATTCTCTTTGTTACTTTATTACTATATTATCTGAGGCCATACAACAGACTTTGTGATCCGTTAGTTGATGGATGATTAGGCCATTATTATTCCATTAAAAAACTTCTGTTACTTCCTCCTCATTTATCCTCCCTATATTTTCACAAATTCCATTAATTGGAAAAATTTTAACTTTTGTTTATGATATCCAAAAATCTTCAAATTCACAATCATCATCATCATCCCAACCACAGAATATGGTAGCTGGCCATAAATTATTCTAAGCATTCTTTAAAATGTTTCAAAAATTCCTGAATGGTCTTGCCATTGTTCAGAAACTTTAGTACAGCCACCTCATTTCAACATGTGAAGCAGTCGAATATCCATTGGCTGGATGACGGATGTACTATCTGGAAGAAAAATAAGATGGAGATGTTATCTTTCACAAAAACTTTTAAGTGAATTATCAGCCACACAGTCATCTATAATCGGGGCAAATATTTAATCATCCAGTAAACCTGATTGTTAATGTTGTGAAGCCTGCAACATGTAAATATTTTCAATCCAATTATTCATTGATGTTTTTGTCATCTATGCTCTTCTACTTGAACAATAGATGACAGGGAAAATTTTTGCTCCTTTAAAATGCCTGATGTTAAGTATTTCTTCCAATTATGAAAAGTTTACAATTTCGAATTCCTGCACCACCTGTACATGAAAAAAATCGCTTGCCTCATGGTGGAGACACCAGTTGAAGTTTTTCTGCAAAGGCTGATAAGGTATTTCAAGGCACATATTACAATAAAGATCAGTTTCATCAACATCATAAATTTATTTTGAAGATGATTTTTCCCTATTAAAGATTTCAATGAAATCCTCTGCAAACTGTTCAGCTACTTAGCAACTGAAGCCTTTTTGAACGAAACTTTTAACTGTCTCATACCATGGCGATTTTTAAATTTAGTTTTAAACTCAGTTTCCAAATTCATTTTCTCATGAAATATTTTAGCCTGAGCCATTAGAACTGACTCATCAATAGCATGCCCTCAATGTGATGCGATCTTACCATATCAATCATTACTTTCCACAACAAGTTACTATTTTTTATTCATTGCAAGTGGGATATCAGAATCCACAAAAACTTTAAAAGTTATTTCTTTTATATCATATATGTCTTAGTCTGAAGATAATTGCAGTGTCTAAAAGTTTAAAATAACCTTTTTTAATTCTTCTTAATTGAACAGAAAGCCGCAGCTTGTGCCACAGATGGACTTCAGTTACGAACTTTGCAATGCATGAGCACGCTCTCGGTGCTTCATTCTTAAATTTGAGGGCTCTGCAATACTTGCATAATTTATCCATCTTTCCAACAACTATATTTCAGAATGTTGACTTTCCAATGCCATTCTCATCGCATAATTTTGAGATGAATATTCCTTTTTTTGAGGCAATTCTACTTTTTGCTTGATTGGCATCAAAACATGCTTTTGCTTTGCAGATCTTGTTGCAGCTCTTTCTAACATAATCGAAAATTCAAACTTTGATAAAAGAGCTGTAATAATAAAAAATGACAAAAAATAATTGGCTTATCAAATTAAAAAGTTAAGGAAGAGTGCTATCTGTCTTCCCTGCTGCTATGCCAAAAAAAGAAAAACCAGTGTGTGTAATATTCACCCCAAACACAAATGTTTTCCGCCTTAGGTCAGAGAGTAAAATACTAACCCTCACAACCAATCAAGGGCTGAAATTGCTGTTATAACCAACACCAATCAATGTACCGGCTACAGTGCGATTCCCTAACCAGCAGATGTTTGAAAGCGATATGCAGGTATCTTTATCGCTTGGGAGAAAAATAATTTTTACAACACATCTGCTTTTTCTTGAATGTTATAGTCTCCATTTTTACACTGCATAATAGATTTCAGGACCATTTTTCCCCATAAATAAATAATAATAACCACAGTTTAACTTGATACATTTGATTGATTATATATGCCCACAGTCGAAGGGCCATCAACCACAGGTTATTTCTCAGCGGGATGGCATGCTACCACAATGGGCATTGTGTGGTCACAGTTTCCTCAATAGAACATTCCCTAACAGATGGGTCAGGAAGGATGGGACTAATTTCATGGCCACCAGAACTGCCTGACATAACATCCATTGGCTTCTTGCAGTAAGGCTATGTTAAAGACATTGTTTACTATTCGAAAGTATCAAAGATTGCAGACTTGAACGCCAGAATCAGCAATGCCACAGCAAGCCCTGAGCCATGCTATATTGCACTCTACTTGAGCAGAGCTGGAATATCGACTTGATATATATGATATCAAGGTTGAGTAACTTGCATCATTTGTCACAAAAAATTTTAGTCTTGCCTGTAAATGCATATGCAAAGGTATAAATAGTTCCTTTCTCAAACAATAAGTTGTTAAAGTTCTTCAAGGACTTTGTGAACATCCTGTATATTTTTAAAATTTCTACTACCAATATAATTTTATTTTTGAGTTTTCAGACTATTTAATCTTAAAAATGAATGTTTAAAACTTTAAATTTTCAAAATAATAAAAGAAAAGTCACTTTTACTCTCATAAAGTAATTCAGTATACTTACATCTCCTTGCAACAACCTTTTTAATGCTGATATATAACTAAAAAAGAAAACAAAATTACAATTAGTTTTTAACTCAAATGGGAAAAAAAAATAGAGAGGGAGAGAGAGAGAGAACTTTGCTCTGACACTAAGTACCAAATTAGTTTACTCCCTAAGTACATACTTAATATGCTATTACTGATAACATAATGCAGAAATGGCTAACAAGTTGAACATGATGTGATTTTTGGTCCACTGCAGCCAACATCACCTTCTTTGCTAGGGTCAACAGTAGCATCTTACACCACCTGACATCCACTTGCAGTCCAACACACATTTTACATAGCTCTTTGGTACGTTCACTTTTATTTCACAATATAAAAATACATTAGTTGGTATTTCTGTGTTTTGAGTTTAGTATTTAGTATTTACCATTGTGGCAACATTGTATTAGTGTTTCTATAAAAAGTATCAATGTTTCTTATCCCTACTTCTATGCAAAAAATGTAAATACCTTCTATCTACATTTTAAATTAAAACTGTCTACTTGTATATATATTTCTTTTAAATTTTAGTACCCATTAAAAACCCCATGCCCAAAAAATAGATCTATTATTTTCATGAAGAATGGCAGCTTGATTTCTTTTTTACAGTGAATAATGATAATTGTTGTTGTTTAACATGCAGTACATGTTCATAAATAACAGGCAATCTGGGAAGGCATTTTTTTAACATTAGATAACAAATACAAAACAGTTACTTAAGAAAAAATAAAATTAGGAATCTCGCCACTCAATGATAACAAATGCTTTTAAAAAGCCCATGTTGGTATCACATGTAGTGATTACTGCGAACAGTTAATGTTATGCGAACCTTAATATTATAGAGGATTTTGTTTTTCCCTTCAATTTGATGAATCGTCAAATGTAAATGACAAAGCACAATTGGTTATTCTTTTTTTTTTTTTTTTTTTTTTTTTTTTTAATTTATACATCTAAAGAAGAATTGAATTCTTTGAATGAAAAGCCTGCAAGATATATTCAGTTCTTTAAAAAATTCCTCACTAATCTGAAATACCACTTTTTGAATTAGTTTCAATAACAACAGATGAAGCAGGAGCAATGATAAGCCATAAAAGTAGACTTATAACTCTATTAGCAAAACAATAAAAAAAATTTTTTTTAAGCTGCCGCTGTATAATTCATCAAAAATGTTTATTTAGTAAAAGATTAAACATGACAGAAATAATGAACATAGTATTCAAAACTGTTAATTCTACAAGAGGAAATTTCTTCCAACTGCAATTTGATAAAGAACATAAGATCAAGAACATGAGAACTGAGATAATGAAAACTTGGTTCAGTGATTTACATTACTTATAGATTTTAAATGACATTAATTGATTTAAATTTATAATTCCAAAGGGAAAACAAAGCAATAACAGAAACAATTTCATAGCATTTATATGGACAAAAGGAATTTAAATATGCTAATAACAGATCTTTACAAAAAAGAAATTAAATTACTTTCCAGATATGTCCAATCACCTATAAAATATCAAACAAATAACAACACTGAAAAATAAAATGCAGAATTTTTTTCTTTTTTTCCCACTGAAGACTTTTCCATGATTCTGAAAAAGTTAAGTTTTTTAACAGTATCTGTCTTCTTTTTAACCCTTTCCAGATATGCGTCCCATACATGCCATTCCCTAAAACATCTTTCACAGCCGTGCATCCCACCCATGCATCACTAGAGAATAAGCTTAAGAGATGAGTGATGTCTATGTATATTTTAAGTTTAATCATTTTTAAAGACCACTAGATGACGTCCTATGCCCATTACTTTTGAACTGAACACAGTTTTAGGATCCTGACCTTCAATCTGATCCCATTCTGCTTAACTTTGGTGTGAAGCTGTTGTGAAGCAAGAGGGAAAAAGTAATCAATATGTACAGAGCTCGGCTATTATGTAGTGTCTTTTAGGGTTACTATGTGATGTTCTGCTACACTTTGTGTTGCTTTTATCACTTATATTTCACATACTTCCCTTTTTGTTTCAGAAAGCCTTGACTTCAGCTTATTATGATGAACAAGTGTTATTTATCAGAGGAAGGATATACTCGCATGGTAAATGAGGAATATAGAGACATGAATGAGAGATGATTCATTTTCTAAAAAGTTAGTGATATTTCTAGCGATTCTGATACAGACATGTTGTCAGAGAAAGCTCATTAAAGCGCCTGCCTTCAACTTTCCATGAAAGATTTTGTGACTTTCTTCTTGCAATTAGTATTTCTTGTATTTTTTTAACAAATTTAAAAGTTCATTAATGTACAGTACAAAGTCCGAAATCCAGAATTATCTAAAATCCGGACCTCAAAGCCACAAACGTTTTTTTTTTTTTTTTAGTCCAAAGGGATTTGAATCCCGAAGGACTATTAGTTTCGTTTGGCATTTTGCGTCGGACTCATAAATGTCGGTTCACTTTTCAAAACTGTTGCCACAAAATGTTAGAGTCCTGCATTATATTTGAAGAAATTAAATAATGAAAAAATCTGCATAAATGTATGTATTTTTTCTCGTATTGTGATAAAACAACGATACATAGAGTCATCGAATTTTGAATAACGTAATCCTCCGACGAATATGAGCATGTGGAAGACCAAATTTGAAATTTGAAATTTGTTTTATGATCGATTTTCTATTTTTTTAAAAACTTTGATGAATTTTTGATTAACAACTCAAGGATTTCAAAGCGAGCAATGGCAACGTTGTGCAGAAAAAAAACATTTTTATCTCCAGCGCGTGAGTCTCTGTATCGGAAACTCTAAAGATATGCTCGTTTTAAAAACTATTTTGCGATATTGCTGTTGCACTGGATCTTATGGTTTTAAGTGCGAGGAACATGATATTTAATAAAGAAAGGTAACACACAAAATGTTAAAAAACGCCCCTTTGGACGTAATTTAAAATCTGAAACATTTCAGATTTTTTTTTTTTTTTTGTAGGCTTTACACATGCACATTTGATTTTTCCTTCCATAATAAAACCTGTGGAGATTTTTCACTTAAAAATTCCGATTCTTAATTTCACTTAGGTACTAAATAAAATACCTCGTTATGGAAAAACAATCATGAAAGCATAAATTTGTGAGATTAACAAATTTGGCTCCGTAGTTGAGTATCTGCTTGGCGTACATCTCAAACCAAAACATTCTACATAGAAACATTGTTGATTTTACACCTACTAGCATTTTATATCCCTGATGCCAACCTGGTGAATCATTATTTATTATATTTTGCTTTCATCACTGCATGTTTATCAACTAATGACAACTTGAGTAATGACTCATGCAGTGATGTCTAAACTTTTTTTATATTAGTATTTGAATAACAAGAGTATGGCAACCTTTTATGCTAACATTACGCTTGGCGATGATTATAGATTTTTAAATGCTCTAAGAAATGTTGACGAAGAAAAATTCAACAAAAATTTCTTTTCATATGCTAAAAATAAATTTTGTTAATGAAACTCATAGGTCAAAAAATTTCACTTAGTGCTATTTTAATTAAGAATAACTGATATGTTATTCACCATAAACCCAGAAGCGGCAGCAGAATATGTCGGCACCGGACGGCAGAATTTAGGGAAGACGGAATTTTTGGAATTTAGGGAAGGACCGATCGGCAAAATTAAGGAATGAGAAGTTTTTTTATGATTTAAGGAAAGCACCTGGGAAAGCAAAAAGGAAAGCACTTTTTGATTTGTGCCTTCTCATTTCAGATACCACTTTTAGCACATATATAATTTTTTTATAAATAATAATTTTTTATACAATATTAATTATATTTATACATTATCAATAGTATTTAATTAAACATTCTCATATATATTTATTTCATTCCCTCTATATCTATCTTTCTATCTATATGTAATGATTTTGAAGCGTAGTCATGATGGCTGGGAAGACGAACAGATGACGCCGACACAAAAATGAATTAGATGAATTCCCAATCTTCATTTCCACACACATAAAATCATCTAAGTAGATATTTATCTAATCATAATAAAATCTGATACATTTCTATTATTCAATCATAAGAAAATATGATAAATTTCTATGAACATTGTAGAAATGACGTAGGCATTTAAACAAAGGTAAAGAAATGCAGTTTTGACACAGCAGCAGTTAGGGAAAGGACAGAGCAGTTAGGAAAGGGAAGAATGACACAATTAACTCACCAGCTGTATTTATACTAAATCTGAGGTATAAATAGAGCTAATCTGTGATTCGTTAGTTTGAGGTTGTTACATAACATAGAAGATTCTCGAATTTGAGAAAACAGATGAATAGAGGAGATCACCAAACCTAGAATGTTAATTTTGAGTTCGGCAATTCTTTTTAACCTTTTGAAGTTCAGTGCATAATTACCACTTGTCCCACCGCGCACGTAGAACAGTAAAATGGCATCTTTGCCTCAGTGTAAATTCTCCTAACATGCTTATCTCAAGTGCTAGTTTTAGCAACCAAATGAAAATGCAAGATATAAAAAACGTTTTTGAATAATTATCTAGAAAATATTGATCATATTCGCAAAATAAAAAATATTTTTTCAAAAAAATTACGTAATTTTTAAACAAAATCGCTCTCTGTACGACTTTTTAGATATTTTTTAATGATTTCATAATATATTTGAAACAGAGAAGATTTTCACTCCACTTTATTAAAAAGGAAGATATTTAGAAGGCCATCATGTTTATTTACATTTAACCTCTGTTTCCTCTGCTTAGGATATTTTTCTATGGTGAATCACACTTGCATATCCATTCAGTATTCAATGATATTTCATGTTACAGAGTTACATTTTCATTTCTTTCGGAAAAATACTAAATATTTTTCAAGTTTTAACATTTTTGCAATTTATTAAAAATTATAAATTTGCATTATTAACATATAAGACAAACATGATACTTAAATTTAAAAATATTTGAAAGGTGCTGCCATTTAGTAGCAGCAATTCCTGCATGCATGGTGATACGTATTTGGTTCCACCTTTTAATTTCAACCGTTCTTAATATATATGAATTCAAATAATAATTTTTTTTTAGAAAAGGAAACTTTTACATAAAAATATTCACTCTAACACCAAAAGTTGTTGTTAGATGATTTAAATTGCATTAGAAATAAATAAAAAAAATAATTAATAAATAAAAAAACTGCTTCAAAATTAGACCTGCAAAGAATTTTTATTTTACAGTTTCTATGAATGAATACTAGTGCTGCCAACTGTCACACATTTAGGGAACTAAAAGGTGTAATTGTATGTATTTTAAATGGAATTTCGCAGCTTTCATCTGGGAGATAAAAACTGATAAAAAAGACGGGGCATCTGGCATCCCACCGCCTGTCAAGGAGTTAAAGCAGCTATCGTATTTTCTTATATCTTACATATATGTATACATAGCTATATAGATACATATACATATTTACTTACCGGCTATAATTATGACTCAAATGAGCTTTCAATATCTGATGTTTCTCTGCAAGATTGAAAACTGGCAACTCTAAATAAAAAGCAAATATAATTCTAAAATATGTACTGAAAAAGGAAAAAACTTGGAAGGCAAAATTAATTTAATTTCAATAACAATACTGAAAATTTCCAACAAAAACAATTTAACAAAATATATACACATGTACACAGATAGGAAGCAACTGTTACTGGTCAATTAAGGATAAGATCTGCTTAACATTTTGCAAATAAATAAGAGAAAGAGGATTATTAAATAATGCTTGTAATTCAAAAGGCAAATCAAATACATAAATCATTTATTTTTTAATCTAGTAATTTTTTTTTATTGCAAAGGCACTTGATTATACATCACTGGTCTCCATGCATAAAAGATACATGAAATTAGAACATGGGGGGAATAGAAAGATGAAAAAAAAATAGTATAAATACATCAAAACTGGGAAATGGAATAACAGTAAGCATTAATAATAATAATTAGTCTCTGGATGTCGATTGCATCAACTTTCTAGCCTGGCAATATTGACTGCATAGGTTTTCTTCCTTCAATGAGAAACATTTTAGCAAATGAACTCTGTCCATCTCAAAATTCTGGTTGCACAAAGTAGACAAAGAACTGTCATACCAATGCAACACAGATGTTTAGCGAGACAATCATGTTCAGTCTCCAAATGAAACATCGCAACTATGATGGATTTGGGACAGTCTGGGATATTACAAACCAAATCTCTCTACTTCATATTCTTAATTCCTTCAAATAATTTAACTTCAAAATGTTTTACTATTCTTTTCACTGATGCAAAATATACCCCCACTACTATTTGATTGCAAAATTTTAGTTCCTTTTTAGTCCAAAGGGTCTTTGTCACTGAAGGACTATTGTTTTCATTTTGCAATTTTGCGTTGAATCACTATAAATGTCCATTTCACTTTTCAAACTGTTGCCACCAAATGTTAGAGTCCTGCATTATATTTGAAGAAATTAAATAATGAAAAATCTGCATAAATGTATGTATATTTCTCGTATTGTACATAGAACCATCGAATTTTGAATGATGTAATCCTCCTATGAATATGGGCATATGGAAGACCAACTTTGAAATTTAAAATTTGTTTTATAATTGATTTCCTATTTTGCAAAACTTTAACGAATTTTTGATTAACAAACTCGAGGATTTCAAAGTGAGATAGGGCAACGTTATACAGAAAAAACATTTTTATCTCCAGCGTGTGTGAGTCTCTGTATCGGAAATTCTACAGATATGCTCATTTTAAACTATTTTGCGATATTGCTGTTGTACTAAATTTTACGGTTTAAGTGCGACGAACGTGATATTTAATAAATAATGTAACACCCAAAATGTTAAAAAACATTCCTTTGGACGTAATTTAAAATCTGAAACCTTACAGATTTTTTTTTTTTTTTTAGCTAATTTATCAGACCACGATTTCAAATAGTTTGCTGCTGTAATCCTATATTTCCTGTTCTGCCATTTTGAAAAACTTATACCTGCTTAATATTTGGGGTATGAACAGGGGCTTAGCTAGAGTTGGGCAAGGGGGGCATCTGTCCCCGGGCGCAGAATCCAAGGGGCGCCAAACTGATGTTACGACATTTTAGAATTAAATGTTTTCCATCCTTGGAAAGCAGTAGGGGGCGCAAAATCTTCAGTTGTCTCTGGGTGCTGAAAACCCTAGCTACGACTCTGGGTATGAATTCCGGATTGTGGATCCACAAAACTGAAATTGTGTTTTACGTCAAAAACCTTGACATTGGCTTTCTGGAATTCTTCTGATGTATATGTGACCCAGGAGTCAGAATAAATGGTTGTTCCCTTTGTTCTTAAAGTTGCAGCTTATAGGTGTTCTTAAAACTTAGCAAATGTCATGTGGTTGCAACAGCAATTTGTGTTTGGGTTTCAAAGTTGGCAAATACTCATTCTTTTTTGGGGAATTTTGTCTTTTTCTCCATTAACACATAATACTATATTTTTAGGTAATAAAATGCAGAAAAATTTGTAAATAATCACATATATGTGAAATAGAAGTTATAGATTTTGATTAAACATTCAGAATTTTAAACTTAAAAATCAATTTTCTATTATTTACAATAAACATGCCAAAATCTTACTCATACTTGACCACAGTGCTGCCAGAAGTTTTTTAGCTAAATTAGGAGGAGTAGAATAGAAAAGTAGGAAAAATAAACACAAAGTGATATCAGAGATCAAGTGATTTTTTATGATATTTAAATATGAACTCTGACGTCATCAAAAAATCAACATCTGAAGATTCTATAGGTTATGGACTATAACTCGATTCTTGGTTGTTTTACTAAATATATATTATATTTGGCATCAGCCTTAAAACCACACTTCTAATTTTGCATTGCTTAAATCTTCAATACTTTTTTAATCAATTCTAAATTAATTTAGGTTGTTATTTCTCAGTTAATTTTTTCACATACATTTTCATGTGCTTCTTCACACTTGCACTGTTTAATTCCTTCTTTTGCATTGGTGGCTGAGGATAAATTATGAAAAAACATAGCTGCTGCTTTAAATATGATAAAGCATAGCAATTCAAAACTGATTCCTGGGGCAAAAATCCAACTTTATGTGCACATGAAATGTTTTAATCTGTTCAAAAGCAAAACAAAACTTTATGCTCAATCTCAAATTGGTTATACTCTTTATAATGCAAACTATTTCATTGGTTTTTAAAGAGATTTCCTTCATTCTTCACAAAACATTGACAATCAATCTGAGAACTACCTTTGTTGTTATTTTTATATACTTCTGCTTTAAATTTCAGATATTGAATGGGATCATAAACATGACTGGTGTCTGTGCAATCAGAACTACAAAAAGAATATTTCATTAAAAATAAATAAATTTACTTGCTTTTTACTCTAAGTTCACATTAACCTGTATGTACCTAACCAGGACCATTAGTGCAGTGCGTAAAAGTACGTGGGTGACGAAAATCAGGGGCGGCCGTACTCTACACCTAAATATTTTAAATTCTTTAAATTCATTGTATCTGTCATATGTACTTTTTATATAATGTCATAAGTACTTAGTGAGTATGGAATAAAAACTTTATTAATCACTGAGTATTTTTGGCTAATCTTTGGAATATGGTAACAGGTAGTTTAGCAACATTTTGGTAAGGAGATAAAGGTTACTAGCTAGGACTTTAGCAGTGTACATGGATAAAGTCAAGAGTATGCGCAATGCCATTTTTGTGCAATTCTGGTATGTTTTTTTAAGTGAAAATAGATCGACGTGTACATGAATACTGTGTATGTGCAATTTTTAAAAACGCGGCAAGCAGTTTGCGATTCTGCACGCACCTAATCTTCGTCATGATTAAGGACTTTTGTTCCATAAAAGTTCTAGCATAAGTGTAATTCGGCTAGCAGATTGTTGGAAAAAAATGTTGAGTAAAAAAAAAAAAAAAAAAGCCTTTAATTCGTGAAAACAAAATAGCGTCGAAACAAAATTAGCAGGTTGCTGTAGCAGGGTTAGTCACCAAATTTTCGCCAAAAAATCGCAAAGTTACCATAATCCAAAGATTAACCGTATTTTTTTTTTTATGTGGTGGCGGCAATCTTAGGAAAATATGCGCGCTGCCGATGGCCTAGGAATGGCCCCGTACCTAACTATCTTTTATAATTTTTAAAACATTTGCTTATTTTTCTCAAAAACATTATGCTTATTTTTGGAAAACAAATACAGTGTTTGCCTCTGAGACCTATATTTTAATTGACAAATTAAACAAAATACCAATTTGCCAATTATAAATACAAATCCATGCAAGCACAAGAGGTATAAGTCTGTGCCATCCTTGCAAAGCTATGATATATGTCTCGACAAGTGTTGCTTCTGCACTTATGTGCATAATGCTGCTACTGGTATCGAATGTGCAAGTTTTTTACAAGTTAAAGCATTGTAACCACAATGTGAAGTACATTCTTACATAAGTGTTTTTTAATATACCTTATTAATATGTAATTAGTTAATTTATAGCTAAAATAGCCTTAGGTGCATTATGGCATTTACGGAAGGTACGTCTGTATCTTATGGAATGCCTAGATTTTGGTGATTACCTGCTTAAATGGGATTCAGTCTTCTGGACCCGTATTTACATCTCAAGCATAACAATATATTTTCCCCGTTCATACGGACTATTTGCAGGTCAGAGTAGACCATTGGGATTTTGGGTCCATATATAGACAACTTTGGATATCTATGTTGTAGACTGAAGGAAAAGCAAGGAATTTGTCATGTTTGTAATTAGGAAGAAGCAGGCCAACTAAATACACAAATGCCATTCTTTCTGGTTGCTAGAAACATAAATTTTGAAATTTGAGCAAATCACTGGAAAAAGCATTTTTTAATTTGTTGTGTACTTAACTTGTAACATACTGAAATGCCAAGTTAAAAGATTTAAGCCTGAATAAAAATGATAAACTGTTAAAAGATTTTAAAGTTCTTGATACTCACAACCAAAGAAAAACTATATCTGAACTGAGAATTTCCCCAAAAGCATTGTGTAATTTACTTTTAACCAGTGAGTGGTCTGAGAGACTGCTGAGGATTTTCTAACTGGCATTTCCACCACAGGGTTCGTACACATTTCCTTACATGAAAATTAAGGACTTTTAAGGACTTAATTAAAGACATCAAAGAAAAAATTAAGGACCTATCAGCAAACAAAAACAAAAAAAAAAAAAAAACAACCGAATAGCAATTAAGCAATTATCCACTTTAAGAAACTAACAGAAGTGTGTATTATGCACTATTATTAAATTCAATTTAATACTTACCATAAAACAATTTTGAAAATTAAACTAACTCCCTACAAGTTATGAAGTAGATAACATTAAATGAGGAACATAATTTCTTGAAAAACATGTATAAGTGTATTTTACACTAATAACAGTCACTATTTTAGAGATTTACATGATTATTATTTAACTTATTTGATATTTATTTAAAAACATAGTCAACTACTATTATAATCACAATG